GGGGTGGGGAGGGAATGGGGATTTTGCAGTCTCCTTCCCCTGCCACGCCCACCAAGCCACGTTCACACAACCGGTAGTCAACAAAAACGGAATCCCACCACTTGCCTGCACGCCCATCCCCCGCAGGGGCCTTTCTTTAGATGGGAGAGCGGCGTCCGCCCGCTGCCTTGCCTCGCAGCTCTTTCTCCACTGAGGGGTGGGAGGCTCCGCCGGAGGAATCTCTGCCGCGGAGCCCTATGACGGACGGCAGGCGGAAAGACAATGGGGGAAGGGTCCGTCAGCCCCCCACAGGAGAGGATCCGCGCAGGAAGGTGGGCTGAGCGCAGGGGGCAGGACTGCCGCTAGGCCAGCCCCGCCGGCTCCGGCTCCGACTCCTGGAGGGTGGGCAGAATGGCGAGGCGGGACGGCTCATTTGAACAGGTCGAGCAGCATCTCCCGAGGGCGCCGCCGCCGCCTGAGGGGCAGGTCACCGGGCGGAGACGATGCCAACGGCCACACCAATGCTCCTACCACCAGCATGCATTTCCGACGCCGCGTTCATCCTCTTGGACGGGGACTCAGGCAGCCGCCGCCGCCGCCAAGAGGCTTTTCCCCTCAGTCCCCACCGCCGGCGGCGGCCACCGGAGTCGCTTGCGCTCTTTGGCCGGAGACCAGCTGCCTCCGTGGCGCAGGCGCCTCTTCTTCATGGAAGCCCCCGAGCCGGCTCCTGGGGATCCCCGCGCCCGCCGAGGCTTGTGGAAAGCGCCGAGCGGGCGGCAGTGGCCCGTCCTGGTGGCCTGCTTGACCTGCTGTACCTTGCTCGGCTGGTACACGGCCAACAGCGTGAATGACGCTGCGGCCCCTGGAAGCCCCCAGCCGGAGGAAAAAGACCCCGAGGTGACGACGGTGACGGTGGTGGTGTGGTGGCCGCCTTTCGGGCACGGCGTCTCCGAGAACTGCTGGCAATTCAACATCAGCGCCTGCCGCCTCTCTACCAACCACAGCCTCCAGCCCCAGGCGCACGCGGTGGTCTTCCATCACCGGGACCTGCAGTGGCATGGCCTGGGCCAGCTGCCCCAGCAGAGGCCGCCGGAGCAACGGTGGGTCTGGATGAACATGGAGTCGCCCACCCACACCACTGGCCTGCGAAACCTGGCCGGCCTTTTCAACTGGACCATGTCCTACCGGACCGACTCGGATGTCTTTGTACCCTCTGGGTACCTCAAACTTCGCCCGGAGCCCCTGGTCCAGTTCACCTTGCCCAAGAAGACCAAGCTGGTGGCCTGGGTGATCAGTAACTGGAACGAAGGTCATGCCCGGGTCCGTTATTACCACCAGCTGAAAAAGTATCTCCCCATCGATGTTTATGGATCTCACAAACTGTCGCTCAAAGACAACAATGTGATCAAGACGGTCTCGGAATACAAGTTTTATTTGGCTTTTGAAAACTCCCAGCACCAGGACTACATCACCGAGAAACTCTGGGTGAACGCCTTCGAATCTTGGGCGGTCCCCATTGTCTTGGGGCCCCCAAGGGCCAACTATGAACGGTTCGTCCCTTCTGACGCCTTCATTCATGTCGATGACTTCTCTGACCCCATGGAGCTGGCAGTTTACCTGAAGTTCCTAGATAAAAACAAGAACATGTACCGAAAGCATTTCGCCTGGAGGAAAGAGTATGATGTGAGGCTGCCATCCTTTTGGGCAGAACATTGTTGCAAGGTTTGTAAAGTAGTCCGAGAGGTGGGGAAACAGCCCAAGACCATCCAGGACCTCGCCAAGTGGTTTGAAAGTTGACTTCCTCGGATTTGACTGAGTTTCCATGCAGGATGATTGGTTTGACGCATTTACCCAACCAAGGCACAGAAAATATATCAGGGGTATTTCAGTTTTCTTAAGTTATCGATTAACTTAATTGATAAATTAAGATTGCTTGGTTTAATAATTATGGGGAGATTCACCAGTGTGTGTGTGTGTGTGTGTGTGTGTGTGTGTATGGACTTTTTGTTGTTGTTTCTCTCTTTTGGTCTCGTATGGAGTTCTTCACCAAACTGAAGCACAAAAGGGTTTGGCTGCCACATAAAGGTTTATTTGCAACCTTCGCAAATAAGCAAAACCATTAGCAAAATACGTATAAAATTATAGCGATCGTATCAATTCAATTCATCCCCTCTAATATTAAAAGCACTATTTTGTCAGGATGTCAGGCTTTCCTAGCTTTCTTGTAGCCATTGCAAGCAATGCAATGTTTTGTTACATGTTTGTCTTCATCAGACAACAAAAGACTTTTTTCTTCTTCTAATCTAGATTGTTTCAGTTGCATTAACCAGGGCATAATGAATCTAGACCAGAGTTCCTGATAAAGTTTGCAATGTAATGAATAATGGATCAAATCTTCCTCCTATAAGTTATTGCAAGTGCGTAAAAGGTGTGTAGTTGGTAATCCTCTGTATTTTCCATCCAAATAGGCTGTTGGCCTTGTTTGAAAGTGAAGTTCTGTGAAGGCTTTTCTCAGGGAATAAGATATAAGAAACTGTCAATAGTATGACATTCCTGTTTCTTCTTGATATTCCTTGTCCTGCATCCAGGATTCTAATTAATATGTGTACTTGAGCTCAACTTTCACTAATATGCCTGATTTTTATAGCAGTAGAATTTTTAAAGTGGAGAATATTTTTTAAAAAATTTAGACTTTCTTACCCCTATATGCATAGTCTTAAGAGGGTGATATGTAATGATTTACTATAGGGTTTGCCAATGTTATGCCTTTCATTGTCAGATAACTTGAAATTATGACTTGTTCTTTTGTTTTACACATATTTTAAAACCTTTTATTGCCAAGGTGAACTAGAAACACAGATCCCTTTGGCAAGATACAGAGTGTCAAGACAAAATAGCTTTGTTACAAGAAAATAATTGCATTCATTGGACCCATGTTAGCATTTTCAGTTTGTTAATGCTAATTACAGTTCTACTTTATTAAAATTGATAGACTCATAGGCAAAATAGCTTCCTAGCTCTGACTATTGATTCAGCTTGCATAATTTCCACACATTGGATGATATAATACAAATTATACAACTAGAAGAATTAGCTTATTGGTTAGTTACTTGCCAAAACCACCTCTTAATTGATTAAAATGCACTGAGAAAGTAATTTAGAAAAAATGTTGCTTTGCTGTCTGATCAGTGAACTTTTAAAAAAAGTAGTCTTTTGAGGTTTGGCATATATATGATAGATAGTTTTCCCAGTTGTTGTAAAAAACAGTTAATTTAGAGAGAGAGAAATTCCAAATATCTTTTTTTCCCCTCACAAGCAATTTATAGATAGGATCTTTTGTCCTGGAATAGAATATACTAAGAAATAAAATTTTATATGAAACATTCATTCTTAACACTGAATTTTTATATTATTGTATTATTGGTTCAATGAGAGTTAGCAAAGCAGTATTAGTGTCAGTGGAACGCTGACAATTAGTAGATTTTTGCCCACTGACTAAACAGACAAACTGATATTAGAAGACCTTTACCCAATTAAGTTTTTTCCCAGCCAGAATCTATTAATTTTTTTTTCATTAGAAATGTCAAGACATGGACTGTACAGGTAGTCTTTGACTTACAACTGCAGGTGAGACCAAAATTTCTGTTGCTAAACAAGATGGCTGCCTTCATGCCACAGTGTTAAGGAAATAACTACAGTTGTTAAGAGACTCATGGGATAATCTGGCTTGCGTTTGCTTCCTGGAAACCAGTTGGGAAGGTTTTATTTATTTATTTATTTATTTGATTTGCCAATTGTTTACAAGATAATAAGTATAAGTGTATACATAGTTGTGAATACATGAAATGGGTACATATAAGAAAAATAAAAGAAGAATAAGAGAAACAATAGGACAGGGACGGTAGGCACGTTGGTGCGCTTATGCACGCCCCCTACAGACCTCTTAGGAAAGGGGTGAGGTCAATAGTAGACAGTCTAAGGTTAAAGTTTTTGGGGTTTGGGGAAGAAACTACAGAGTCGGGTAGAGTATTTCAGACATTGACCACTCTATTGCTGAAGTCGTATTTCCTGCAATCAAGTTTGGTGCGGTTCACTTTGAGTTTGTATCTATTGTGTGCTCTTGTGTTGTTATGGTTGAAGCTGAAGTATTCATTGACAGGTAGGACATTGCAATGTATGATTTTATATACCATGCTTAAATCAGACCGAAGACGGCGTAATTCAAGGTTTTCTAGTTCTAGAATTTTTGTTGCATATGACATATGACAAATTGCATATGACAATCAAATAATCCAAGGGCTATGCAGCCATTGTAAATACATTTTGATTGCCAAATACCCAATTTTTCCTCAAATGACTATGAGGACGCTGCAACCGTTTTAATTGTGAAGCTCAGTCATAAGTCACTTTTTTCAATGCTGTTGCAATTTCAAATGGTCACTAAACAACGGTTATAAGTTGTTGAGGACTGTTTGTATTAACTGCACGTAAACTGATATTAAATTTGATGTGTTTTCACAGTTTTAACAGTTGTACCAGTCTCAAAGACGTTTTTTGTCTGCGCATTCTAAATTGCAATAGGCTCTGGTTTTTTCAGCTAAGTCGCCTGTAGACACAAATTACATAGGAGAAAAAAACCAGCCTGATATAAAAAGACTTCTATTTGGAGCACATGAAAGATTTCTTTCACTAAAAATGAATGTATTTGCACACAGAAGAAAAGTTAAGGAGAGGTGAGGTAGGAAAAAAAATAAAGCAAACAACTTCACTGGTTTATTAAGAGTTTCCGTGGTTTTTTTGGTGTGGGGGGGGCACGTTGGAATTTTCCTGACTTGTCATGGGGAAAAGTTAGTTATAATTTCAATTAAACCAGATTCGCTCATGCAGGATAAATGCCACAGACTCACCTGTTGATAAAATTCTTGTAAACTGGTTTCTACGACGGGTAGAATCCTATTGTAATTTATTTTCATTTTGTTGCACTTGCATTAGTAGTAGAGATCTTTATGGT